TAAACTTTCCGCCATTACGCTATTCAATTATTTTAACGCATATTATAACTTTTGAAATTTTCTAAACATAGCCAATAAATGCATCACCTCTCATATCCTTTTGTAGCCTAAAAATGTGACCCCATTGGTAATGAATGATTTGCAATACCGAAACGCGTAAACAATGTTTTGGCAACTGTCTACTAATTCGACAATCAGAATCTTCGTCATCTGTCTGTGTATACATTTGAGTGAAGGATAATAGTAATAGTTTCAGTGAATAAAGAGAATTGGACCCAAATTCAGGTCAATATTTATCACAAATGTTTACGAACCGTTACATTTTGATAGCTTGCCAGATTTTAAAAGAGAACATGTAAATGAATTTCATTTTACCAGTATCCTAAATTTTGCTCAGAAAAGTGATTAATTTTGATTACAACAACGAAACAAAATGACAACGAAATAGATGAACTTCAATTCAGCAATCTTACAAATAAAAAATAAGCTAATTCTTCAGAGAAAAGATGAAGTTCCGAATTAAATTTTAAAAAATTGCGCTGAAATCACTTTCCACAAATATAACAAGAAATGAAACAATCCTAAAATGTCTTGTTTTGGAATAAAATGAAAGTATGATTTCAAAGAATTTTTTCTCCTAATATTCATTACCATTTTAAAATGTGTTTCTCAGCATCTCTCAGCTATTTTTAATAATCATCCCAAAAATAGATCTGAGCTTCGAAGTGGAAAATTTTGATGAGAAGAATAGACTGTTTCATATCTATTTGTATTTGGAGGCCAAATATGGCATTCAACTTTTCGGTACTTTCTGAAAACGCATGAAGCAAGCAATGAATTACACCGTCATTTGATGGCTTTTCGAAATTGAAGTCCTAAAAAGGTCACCAGCAAATTTTTTTATTCAAAAATGTTTGAATGCTATGTGTTCAATAAGCAAATACGATAAATAAAAAGGACTGAAATGTAAAAAGTTGCAAGAAAGCATTTTGACGATGATTCATCTCCCATTAAAATGTCAATACGCTGACTGTTTACGACCAATCTGCATTGCTATAATACTGAGAATAATTTTCTCCCTTTTCCGTATTTACTAACAATCTAAGGATCAACGATTTCTTGACATCTAAAATTAATAAGAATTTAAATTGTAATTTCATTTCACTGTTTATTTGAAACATATGAGAAGAGAAATGTTAATTAGAAATGCAAAATAGTTTTAATTTGACTTTTGAATTTATTTGATTTTCTTTCAGATAGTTTTTCAACTAATTCAAAATGGAAATGTCTTCAATAACTCTTCTAAATTGTCCTTTTTCAAACGGATGGTATATTGTTTTACCAACTGGTAATTAACCAGAAACATACGTCATTTGATTTTTCATTCCTTAATTTATGATCAATTAGAACTATTAACTTTGAGTATTTTCAAGTAACTGGAATTACAGTTCCCATTTCTGTGCTCTTCTGTTAAAAAAAAAGGTTAAAATAGATGCGCTCGATTTCATTGACTTTCCATTTTGTTACCACTTTCCATTTCACTGTCATTTCACAACCGTGAATTAGAAATTAATTTAGTTTCAAAGTAATATCTTTAATTTGAATGCTCAATTTAAACTCGATTCTTTCAATTCCAATTTTTAAAGGAAAGTATTGGTCAGGAATTCTAAGGGGATCGTTAAAGAAATAGTTCAATAATTAACAAGATTAATAATTGTTAACATAAAAAAAAAATGTTTATTGTAACAATTGATAGGTTTTATAGCGCTGTTGGGAAGCGCAAACATCCAATTTACGACTTCTCCAAGTAATCGATTTTGTGTAAGACCTGGGGAAAGTTTCCCGCACTCTACATTCTTAGAAGACCTATTTCTTGCACTTTTTGGTAATGACTGTCAATTGATAATCGTTATTTATGGATGGGACAAAAAATATAAACTACTAGCTGAGGACACAGTCTCGTTGAAATTTTTTTGTAATCATTCAAAATAAACTGAAACTTCCAAATTTATTTTAAAATTCACTTATATTTTCTTCTCGTTTATCACTTTCTACTTTTTTATTCTATTTTTACACTTTTTATTCTTTTTTTATTGTTTTTTTTATTACTTTTCATCTCTGTTCCCTTTTCTCTCTTATTTTCATTTTTCAATCTTTTTTTCTTACCCTCTTTTTTTAGATCTTCTCTTCTATTCTTCTTCAAAAAAGATGTGATTATGCGGCATAGTTCAATTCAGAATATTCGTCTTTTTTTTTTCAAAAATCTCGTTAATCATTCTATGGGAAATATATTCCTCCCATATTTTTCCTCTAATTTATATTATTTTTGTAAATGATTTTACTGTTTTTCTATAAAAGATCTCAATTTTTCAACATCTTTCTACAAACAGAAAAAAAAGAACCAATGATAATGACAATACCTTTTTGATGATAAATTAGGCCTTCATTTATAGGAAGGACCATGCAGACATATACTGTTAAGTATTCTCATCTTTTCATTCTACAAGGAACTGCTCATTTGTTCATGACTAACTTTTATTGTTCTGCCAACATTATTATCAATAGAATCATTTTCCTTGAAGAGATGATGAGATACTTATTAATTGTGAGTATTGATCTTATTACCCCCGTTGATATTCTTGATAAGAAAAATCTTAAAGGCTATACATCCTCCCATGACTATCACAATATATGTTCCTCCCATGACTATCACAATATATGTTCAAGTACGTAACAGCTTTTTGTCGAATATATCCTCCTATTATTCAAAATTTTTCCGGAGCTTTTTGATGCTCTTATCAAACATACCTACTTTTCCATCCCATTATCAATTTCGAGATATCTGGAAATATCTCCCATGTGATTTTGGACCATTCTTAATAAGTAGAATACTTAAAGACTAAATGCGAACTATAAATAAACTAATGGAAATGTGAAAGATTCGAATCATAACTATGCCTTTATATTGGACAACTACTGTAAATTAGCAGCGAAAATTTGACTTACCAAACAAACTTAGCAACAGTGATTGTATTTTTAAGCATACTTTCTTGACTTCTTCATAATTTTGTACGACTAATTTTAGAATCAAAATAAACCGAATGCCAAGTACTGTGAAGCAATCAATTTCAACAGTGAGTGAAAAACAATTAACTTCATATGGTTGTAAAAATATTTATTCTCTTGAGGTAATCTTCTAATTTCTGCTTACAAATTCAATATAGAATTCAGGTGTAATCCTCACACAATGATACAATACGCGTCTTTTACTCTTTATTCTAACTCATACAATTAGACTTAAACAATTTACAAAATCTCTGATGATTTAGAAATTTTCAGATAGTTTTAATGATTTGCTCTTTGCTAGAAATGACAGGCTTTTGTACTCTCTGTGCTATATTCTTCTCTTATTCTGGTACTTTTATTCTTCATATTTGCCTTGCATTGATCGGTGGAATAGCTGTATTAGTTGGTATACTTACACATTTTCCAAGTGCACTTCTATTCTACATGATCATACAGGTAGCTAAGTTTTTATAAACTAGTACGGATCAGTGACCTTTTGATTTTATCCGATACAGATAAGCTATATATTCATTTTTAAGATATCTTCTACTATTTACTTATCAATCATCGCCGTTTTATCCGTAAGCATATTTTTCAACCCCAGCAAGTGGAAATTTGATGAGGCCAGTTTTCTTGGCCATACGAATGAGGGTAAAATTTTATTTTTGTAAAAACATACCACAACCAAATATTTATCAAATAAAATTTTTTTTTACTGCATAAAATTTTCTTTCTACTGAGAGTATCCTGAAAAGGTAAAATTGATAAGACTAAAAAGTCTTTGCAGAAATTCGAGAAAGTGGAGCCATTCTGATATGCTTCTCATTATTACTCATTCCATTATCGGCTTGTTCACTGGTTGCTGCTGTACAATTTTTCCATCGTTTGTTGTTTTGCAACATCATTTTTATTAAACCTTTTAACAAAATTAAAAACCAATTCAAATATCGATTACATAATTTGTGATGATTTTGAAATGTTTTGCATGAGCAATCATCCCAAATGATGCATTTGGTTGATATTTTTCAGGATGTGGTGAAGAGAAGATGGTAAAATGAAATTTAATGGTAAAGTTTGGAAGCATTAAGGAATGAAATTTGTGAATATTTGACTTGCGAGATATTTATTTGATTTCCAAAGGAATTTAAAATTAAGATTTTCATGTTTAGATTTCAGGTTTGGATTCGTTTTTTTGATTTCTAATTTCTTACATTTTTCGATATGGACACAATAATATCAAACTTTTCCAACTGCATTTACGGCTTTTAAATCAAGACGGACGAAAAAAGTTTTAAAATCAAGATCAGTTTTTCATGACATCTTAATGAATCTACTCAAGGAAGAAATGATTTTCACAATTCGAATTAAAAATTGAATTTTTTTTTTTTTAAAAATTTGGCAGTTTAGAGGCCTTGTCCTTCATTATCTACCAGTGGAAGATTATGTAAACTAATTATTTAGGATATTACATTTCTTCTGGTTAAATATTATTCGATGGACATGCCGAAAGCAGAACAGTAAACCAACATTTGCATTTACACCTTTTGTGTTCAGTTGTATGTTCTCAAGATCAGTATGAAAACCGATCCTTTCAAATTTGAAAACCTTTCAAAAATTCACAAACATATAATTAGTCAATTAGTTGGTTTGTTATACCTGAAAATAATCATCCAGTTTTTACTTCCATTTCAAGTTAAATGCGAACCTGATAATCGACAAATTGATTTGAAGAGCACATTGTGTAAGATCATTGTAATTTATATTGAAAATTGATCTGTTTAGTAATGTTCTTTGATAAAATGAAGCTAATTAACAGAAGTTCGGAAACTTTAAGGAAGTAAAACATGTTGAATTTCGTCTAATAATACCACGAAATGAAGTACAACAATGAATTATATCGATTAAATTCGAAAGTTAGAAGCTCATGATAAATTTGTGACTGTCACCTAGAAGACTTTAATGAAGAAGAAATTTTGAAATAATTACTAATTAATGCCATCATTCATACTGCTGAAAATCCAAGTGAGATTACTCACTTTTCATCTGAGCGAAATTTTTTCACCTTCACATTTCCAGAAAGAAACTGATCAGGATGTCCCATTTTCATTTTTGATAGAGTGTAGTATGATTGACCAATCACTGATTAACTGATTACAGCAATTAAGCTCTAACTTCAGGAACAATGTAGTGGTATTTTAACATCGGAATTAATGATCACTTGAAGTAAAGTGATAGACTCAAAATTTTTGCTTTTTAATTATCTTAGTAAAATAATTATGTTATTATGAAAAAATATTACTGGTTTTCTATGCAGAAACCATTTCGTACGATAGGAAATCCTTTCTTCTAAATGCATAGACATGATACAAGTCAGAAGAAGAGTGAAAAAGTTTGCTGGAGTGGAAAAAGCGCATAATGTTTGGAAGTGTGACAGTATTTAATTACGAAGCCAAAATTAGTTTTTGAAGAAAATTGAAGATTTGTAAACTGCACGTCTTTCAATGTCGTTAAAAAGTCCATTAAAATAGAAGACAGTCCGATCAATTGCTGAATCTTGCAATTTCGGGTAAGTTTCATCCATTAGGTTGTAAAATTATTTTGAAATTAATTCGTCAATTGTACTTCTTAATTAGAAAATGTTTCAGCAATTTCGATAAATTTTATATTCAAATTTTACTTTTCATTGAGTCTTGAAAAATAATTTTCAAAATCGGAAAAAACTCAGTTGCTAGATGAAAATAAATTATTTTCACATCGATCCGTCAAAATTTTCGTTTTTTCTTAAACTTCAAGACGTTTGTTAAAGTTTTTAGTCTTAACTCACTTCCCAAAGAAAGGTCAAAGGTGAAAGCTAACTGCATCTATCATTCACTCCCTTCCGTTTTTATCATCTATTCAACGGTTGAAATGGTAAACATGTGAAAATGTCTGTAACATCTGACTGACAAAAAAGACAATACCGCAAAGTTAAATTCTCTTCATCAATCACTAATTTGCACTTTAGTTCAAACAAATCTATGCTAATGACAAGGACTGTTACGGTACTTTAATTGTGCTTATTGCCTTACACGTAGAAGTAATTGGCACTCTCTCTCGTAGACACCGTTTGACAGTAATTTGGTAGTGCTCAGTCATGTTTTAACAACTCTCTGCAACTTTCTTGTTAGATTGTATCGCCTTGATCCTTCCACCAGCTTAATTTTCTATCTTAGAAGAAAAGGTGGCTTTAGGAGGTGAAATCGAAATCGATGGCCAATTTTCATTCATACTATCAGCCCTTTACATTTGATATATGAAAAAATAAATAACAACTGACTCTAAGTTTTAAAAAAAAAGTACCAATTTTTCTGAATCAAATCTTTCGTTATCAAAAACTTGAATTTTGCACCTTTTCTTTGAGAAAGAGGAGTAAAGTTTTATACTTCTAGCAAAGATAGGAAAAGTAAGAAGTTCGGGGAAAAGCTTTTTGATTTATAAGCCATAGGAAAAACCATTAACAATATCAAGCTACATTTGACCCCTCACTTGATTTCATCTGACCTCTCCTTTTTTTCATTTAGAAAGGCAATGAATAACATACAGCAGTGTAAGGCTATTCTCATTTGGACAAAATTTATTTACTATTTTTGAAATTTTCTTAGAATACTTCGACCAAAAGCAAATTTTACATGCTTGGAAAATGGCTTAAGCATTGCTAAAAGGCAATTTAATGTAAACAAAGATTGCCTTTTCCTTTTCAAAAAAGCATTTAAACAATTTGCACTTTCTTATAGGCTGTTTTGCCTAAAATTACTTCGCACTTCAGAATTTGCATAAATGATAATAATATTAATTAATTTTATTATGCCTGCCTAATTAATTTATTTTTATCAAAAGTTTAAAATATCAAAGAAAGATCTAAACATAGAATGAATGAAATCTTTCCATGGAGATCTTCAAGTCCTGGAAGATTTTAAAAGTGGATATATGGTACTAACAAAATTTAAGATTTAAAAGCTAGAAATCTGATATATCGGGTATTTCGTAATTTCGTTCAAAACAATCTTTAAACATTTTTGTCATAAAAATTTTTGTGTCAGCACCAGAAGTCCTACAATTTCGTCTACTAATTTTAGCAAAATATTCACTGATATTCAAAGTGAGAGGAACAGTTTTTAATAGCATCAACACATTAGGGAATTTGGCAAATAAGTATTTCCCGTCTGATCATTTTTGGCCAAGTAAAGCCTAAGAAGTGTATTTGTTATTGTTGGCCAGAGAAGTGTTGTTTGTCAGTGTAAGCTATTAATGTACCGACTCGTTTAATTCGGAGCAGAAGAAAAACAGCCCCAAATATGAAGAATTTTTTTTAAATATCTGAAAACGTGAAAGTTCATATTACGGTATGGATTCGAACTATCACAACAACTTCTACATTAAACCACCGATGGTGACCTCAGGATACAAACAAAAATGAGAGTTTTCAAATCTGAAATACCATAAAATGTAATAAAATATTAAAATACAGCAGAATTTTCCTATTTACCATTCTTTCATGTTCATTGATGGCTTAATGGCGCTCCTGTCTCACATTACATTTTCCAAGCTTCCCACTAATTCTGAAATTTTTTTTTAACATTTCTTTTTCTCTTTCTGCACACGAAGATTTTTCATATTTCTGATCGAAGAGGTATTTTATACAATGAAAATGGCTTCAATAACTCATTTTCTACCATAGGCTATTTACGAAATGATTCTCTATCAAAGATTAATTATAACTAATTATTCCAAACCTTTCACAGATTACAATGTTTTTCAAATTTGTTTGCAATTTATTCTCATAAAAAGGACTACTTTTATCCTTGGTAACATCACATAAGACTTTTGCGCTAGCAATCAAAATAAAGATAAAATTACTGAACAAAAAATTATCAAGAACTAAGTTTCCATTTCAAGCTTCGAAATTTTTGCTTCATTGCTCTATCGAAATTAAAGTTTAGAAACAAAATGCCAACCTGAAATTGATTTATATTAATGCCTCAAAAGTCTTGAAAACTTCTGTTACCCATTACTGTATATCTTAATATCAAAATTTTAATGACATTTGAAAATTTTCACTTATTCTTTTTATTGTAGAAATTTCGCTTTATTGTGAAAAATCAAAAAGCAAAATTGAGTTTTCCGTTTGTTACAATCTGAAATTACTGAAAATTCACTGAAATGAATAAGAAATTTTTTGCAGTCCGCGTAAAATAAATTATCCAACATGGAATTTAGCTTTGAAAACCCATCAGATGAACAGGTCCGGCAAAAAAGAGAGATATCGATGATTTCTGGCCGCTTACTTGCTTGTCCTGGGCTATAATTGCTCTTTTTCTTATATCTATGTCCTAATGTAAGACATTTACAACTTGTCCATTTATAATTTCACACGCAGAATATTAATTAATTATTGGATTGCTTGGTCGGAACCCAGACGAAAACCATTGCACTATTAGCTTTACAAGTTAGCTTAAAAAATTTATGGCCTAAAGCTAGACTAAACTGCCAATTTCGATGATAGACTTTAATTCGTCAAACAAATTTAACACAATACTGGCCAAATCGATTATTCGTTTCACTTCCTGAGCCAATAGTCGAACGAAATAGATTTATTTGCTTTATTTCATGCTCGACTTAACATGTCTTTGTTGTTGCGCATGTCAATTTCTGTCCAATCATTTTTTCAAGGCCTTGACAGACGTCATTGTCCTCTTCCTTCCCTCTTCTCTTCCTTTATTCCGTCTATTTCCGCCTTAACTATTCAGAAGCTCCATCCAAAAAATGATTTTTCCTTCCTCATATTCTGGTCGAGAAAAAAAATAGTTGAAATGGATGGCCCATAACAGATGAACTAATGTTCGACATTTTTTTGAGTCTTCAGCGCTTTTTTTTAATCTTTTTTTTTCCAATTTTTTTCATGAAATGACTAATTTTGGCGAAATTTTGGAAGTTTTCTAGCTATGGGAAAATTTGAATATCTGAAAATTACTATATAAGTTTGAGTCCGCAGGAATGACACTTTATTCTTCACCGTCAGCACCAATTTTAATCCCATTACCAGTGATCCTATTAAAACTATCGATAACACGACCACAAGGAAGAGTTTCGATGTCTCGATGTTCAGTCCAAAAAATAAGAATCGAGCGCCATCCCCAAAAAAGCCCTAAAATCTCAGGCCGTATATCGACAGATTATTATTTGCGAGGTTGAAGCTAGTAGCAACTGTGATGGAATTATTGTATAACTATTATCACTTTGTCGATAATTTTAATCTTTCATATCTTGACCAATCAATATACAGGTTGAAAAGTCAGACTCTACTGACCATTCATGATTTATACATTAAAAACTTCATTTTCGTGATTTCAAATCTTCACCTTCTCAAGGTAACCGAATATGGAACATCTTTTTTACAAATTTTCATTCCTACTTTTCTTTCACTCCAATTTTTTCGACTCATAATTCAAAATTGTGCCGCAACAAAAATAATTCTGTTAATTGTACAACTGTTACAGTCCCTACAGGTCGCTGGATTTCCTAATATTCGACTTTGGTATGCAAACCGGTATCTTCGCTTGCTTCATATGCTTACCGATGTAATATTATAGACCATGTATCTCAGTTTTTTAATCATTGCTTGCATCATTAACACAGGTAGTTTTACATGATTTTTCAACATATTAAATTTTCATTTGAAATTGTCATGGAGGAAGGATAAATTTTGGCAGTGTGACTGGAATGGATGACCAGTGAGGCCACAGGCTCAAAGTTGTAAACTTCTAGGGGTATTATGTATAGACTTCTTGTGTAGTCGACTTAATGATTTTACAGCTTCTTCCAAATTTATTGTCCATTATGGAACTTTCCGGGACCCAGGCTGTCCGTTTCTATTTATTCTTCCAATTAAGTTGCTAGTCTGATTTTTGCACGCTGTGAATTTGAATTTGTAGGAGACAATATTCATTTTAATCGAAAATTTCCATTGTTTGAAGTGTAGTAGGAGGAAAGGAAATGCATGATGACAGCAATCAAATTACCGATGAGCAACGTCTTTTACGTCATCTACTCAGCCAGTACGAGAAAGCAGTAAGGCCTGTGAGAAATGCTTCCAATACAGTGGTGGTAAGGATGGGCATGACAATGACCAATATTTTCGATATGGTTCCATTTCTTTTTCTTTCATTCTTTGTTTGTTCAAGCAGAGGTCACCAACGAACCCTATGGAATGAATGATGCAATAGCCTTCTTGAAGTAGGCAATGACAGATACCCAAACATCGTCAGTTGTCCTTCTGATTGCACCATCTGATGTTTCGGAGGCAGAAAAAAAAGCCTTCCAATGCATTGGGAAGAATGGTGAATTAGAATATAAGATGAAACTAATCGATCGACTTATAAAAGTAGTTGGAAATGCTCATTGGCTTAGGAATCGATCGATGCATAAATGTCTTAGCAGATTTCATGAAACACCTGAAATCATCTTCAATCAGTTTTACCGCTATAATTATGCACAAGGTGAAAGTAGCATTCGTGCTAATGATTGTATCGTAGATCAAATATCACCTCAAATGTATGATGGATCAAATGAAGAGAGTGCTTTCAGGATGAGAAGAATCAAGTGTTAACAATAAATGTCTGGTTAGATCAAGTTAGTTCATTTCTCATTTCATTTCTCATCATCAGAAATTTGTCCCAAGTTTGCTAATGAGATCCTTTCAAATCCTAGAGAATTTCAAGAATTATAGGAATGGAAAGATGAATTATTGGTTTGGGATCCGAATGAATTTGGTGGAATTGAATCCGTTCGGGTACCTTGCGACTTAATATGGCTTCCTGATATCGTACTTTATAACAAGTAAGTTTTCATCAGCCATAATTCTATCCCTATGAGGAAGCGAGGATAAATGAGATTCTCAAGGGATAGTTATTACTTCTTGAAAATTATAAAATTTAAATATGAACAAAACAAATGGTCCCAAAACTATTGAGTTTCCCATACTTTTTCTGCTATCTGACATAGTCACAGAAATAATATTTAGCGCAGACGATTACACAATTGGCTCCATGAATTCACGTGCCATATTATTTTACGATGGGACCGTTTTCTGGCCTCCGCCAACGCAACTTCGTAGTACTTGTAAAACTGATGTTACCTATTTTCCATTCGACAGTCAACACTGTACAATTAAATTTGGCTCGTGGACTTATCATGGTACAGAAAAGTTTCAGATTTTTGCCTTCAAAATCTAACTTCAGTGCTGGCTTTTATTTTCAGACGATAATATTATTATTGTTTCTCAAATAACTTACGGATTTTACAGATAGCAGTGGTACTATACTGGAGTTTGTGTACGGAAATTCATAACCTATCAGATTCGTAAAAAAAAAAGTCTATTCAGGTCTCCAAGTGGATATTACGAACCACAGTGTAAATGTTGATTTAAGTAACTATGTGGAATCCGGAGAGTTTGATTTGGTGAGGGTATTCCAGAAACGTCGAATTGTTAAGTATACATGTTGCCTGGAACCATATCCAGATGTTACATTTTACATCCATATAAGACGGAAGGTTATCCCTTACGTTCATAACAAACATACAGTTTTTCCTGATTTCCACTTCTCAAATAAACTAACTGAGGTGATTAGTTCAGAATGGTTGAAGAACAATTTACGTGCCGTTTGTCTTGCGGATAAAAAAATCTTTCCTAAAATTATGATTTTAAAATAACTAGCAAAAAACTGAATTTTAATTTAGAATTTGTTACAAACGTTTCATATCATCCAATAAATTAAGTTATTTTGATGGAAAACTTATGTTCCAGTATTCATGTTTTTGACACGTTAAAATTCTAAAAGTTTATTGGTTTAATCAAATTTGGAAACAATGAGTTTTTTAGAAATGCAAAAAAAATTTCTTTCAGACGCTTTATTACTTATACAATGTTATATTTCCATGCTTGATGATGTCCGTCTTAACACTTCTTGGTAATTCATTTCATTCCAAAATTTAGAATTGAACTTTACTACCCTCAATCTGGGATCGTAAATTCATATTTTAATCCATAAACAATACTGATATATGCTAGGAATGGTATCTTAGAAGAAAATAGCACGGCAAATCGTCAAAATTGATATCATGTGATGATGCGTTAGATATTAAAGAAGGAGTAGGATTTTAGGTGATGCTATGAAGATGAAGACAGTAAACTTGAACTAACAAACTAAATTTTTAATTTTAAATTTCAACCCAAAGTGAAATATGTATGAAATCTTTACTTTCCGAATAATTGCTGCGTTTCGTGTTTCAAATCATATTTTATTTTGGACAGAAAAAATTGCCATATAATTATTGCAGAAATCTTTTCAGTATTTATTTTGCCACCCGATTCGAACGAAAAAATCACATTGGGAATTACAGTTCTTCTTGCATTCTCGGTAAATACACCTGTATAGGGATGAAATGTGTGAAATTCAAATGACACACATTCAAATGATTTCTAAGATCACATCATTTGCTTCTTGTTAATAAAAATATATTGGATAGTTTTTGAAGTTTCAAACGTTTTGCTTCAGACTCCGATAAATGAAATCAGGAAAAACTTCCAGCCATGCTGTTAAAAAATTTATAATCCGTATTACAAACACATTTTTGGTCGGATTTTCAAGTTTTTTGCTCAAATAATTTCAGGTCTCTGTGCTAGCTATAGCAGAAAAAATGCCGGAAACCAGCGATTCGATACCTTTAATTGGGATCTATCTGACCATTATTATGCTTCTGACTAGTATATCTGTCATTATGACTGTCATGGTAGGATATACAAAATTCTATTTTTTGCTCAATTTTAGGGCAGAGTTGTAAGAATTTTGCAGAAATGCATTGCAATATAATGCATAGGTATGAAATCATTTTAAATGAAAGCATTAAATTTCATTCTGTTTGATACATTTATCAATTTTATGAATCATTTCAATTTTCATGCGTTCATATTAACTTTTCGAATAATTGCTGCGTTTCGCGTTTCAAATCATTTTTCATGTATTTTTTTTCTGATGTATGTTTTTCTCTAAGGGTATTTGTTCAGGTGTTGAATTTTCATCATCGTGGTCCATTTGATCGTCCAGTACCAGAATGGGTTCATATCCTTGTGTTACAAAAACTACGACATTTTCTAAAAGTGCATTTACAATATCCATCAGGCAAAAGAAATGGCTTATTTGTATCGAATGGTCAGCCACGCGAAATATGCTCACGAAAGATCATTGGTCAGTTATTTTATTGTTCTCTTCTTATCTATCCTTAGATCTTAAATCAAATGAACTTTACTACAAAATCCAAATATTATTGCTCAGTTGCAAGCAAACTTTGGTTAGTTTATTTTTGTCGTATAATTATAACAATAAAAAAAAAGAATGATAAATTTGCTTAAGGTTTGAAATCGCGTAATCAATTTGAAGATCAATTACTTTGGTTGCAAGAGACCGAATTCATCAGCGTTGATAGATATTTAACAGCACGTAGAACCAAACGGAGTACCGATTTGGAATTTCGTCTTCACAAGTTATTACAGGTTATTTTATTTCAAATAATTATAGCTCAGAAATTTAATTACTGAAATCTTCGCGAATGCTCATTTGGAAATACACAACCAACTTGAAACTTGAATAAGATTCAAAAAATGACTTGACACAGTACTCCAATGTCAACTATTTGAAAAAGAAATGGAAAATTTATTGATAAATACCATTCTCTATCGCTATAATTTGTCATCATGAATCTTCTGGGTCAAACGAATCATGAAGTACATTGCAGACGTTTTTGAAACGTCAAGAAACGAACGAATTATATCAAATGTTGACGAGCGAATGGCGTCAAGTAGCTCACGTAGTCGATCGTTTACTATTTTGGATATTTCTTATATGTACAGTAATGATAACTGTTATTTTACTTGTTATTATACCAATTAGGTATCGTTCATTTGATGAGTCTCTCGAAGAAAATTTTGATTGGAACTTGTAATCATAAATTCTGCTCAGGAAGATCACCTTGATTGTTCTACCTTTTCTTTCCTTTATTACATTATATTTAATTATTATTCGAATCATATCTTAAAAATATTTCTATAATATTGACAATACATAGTATCATATAACAAACGATTAAATATCGGTCATAAGTACAGGTCGCTTTTCGTACCAGTAATTGAATTCAAAAAGAACGTTCAAAAATTATCAACTGCTGTTCAGTCAGCATCACCGGCCATTAATTCCCAAAATTCTGCAAAAGTTTTTCAGATGATGTGAAGTTCTGTACAGCTTATGGAGTAAAATTTTAAGTGTAAAATTAAAGTCCTCTAGGGAACTGAAGGTTAATAATTTTCCTTTTCAGTTTTGAAATCCATGAATCAGCTCAATAAAGATTAATGGGAGTTCATTCAGTTCTACATGCTGATCTCCTTTACCTCCTTCTTACCATCATACCTTCAAATTCAATCTTTCCAGATCCATCCTCATCTATTTCGTCTACAGCGGCTTCCAACTGTTCGTCGCTCAGATCATCAGCAATTTCTTTCAGAAGCGCTTTCAGGGTAGGCCGAGATATATAACCATTACCCTGAAGTATTGGCAAACTGTTTAGTAAAAGATTTAATGAGATTTAAGAATAAATTAGCGATATTCACTACCGCATCATGCGGAAAAGGTTTCACTTGACAAGGCAATCCAGCGATACATTTGGTTAAGAGGATCAAAATTTTCCTGATTTTTACAATAGCAAGACATTTTTCCAGCTTCACAAAAAAAGTTGGAATTCAATGAAACCAAAAATTGAAATATTTGAACATCAAAAAGAAAACCTCTTTGTCAAAAAGTCGGAAAGCTTCTCTTAATTCTTTCTGCAATGTTTCCTTATCAACTGTATTGGCAACGGTGTAGACGAGTGCACAGAATTCATCGAATTCCAGTTTTCCGGACCCATCAGCATCAAATTTACGAATTAACTTCCGAAGTTGCTTTTCATCAAAATCCTGTTCCATCGCATGCATAATCTGCCCAATTTGTGTCGCCATAATGTAGCCCTGTTTACCGCGATCAAACATGTCGAAAAATTTTTGATATTCTGAAAATAAGCAGAAAAATTGCCTCAGTAACTAGTTATTATGGACGGAAATGATTTAAGAAGTAATTTTCGATAAAACTTTAAATCAATCTAATTGAATGAGATCATATGAAAGGTACTTGTTGAGGCACATTAATTGAATTTATTTATGCTGGCCGGCAACATAATGTAGCATTAGGACATACATCGTACAGTGCCAATACTAATTTTTATAGGTAATTGAAATTGTAATATTTGCGTAATGATGTAGAAAGATCGGGATTTATTTGAAAGACACACCTTCAATTTGTGAGCCATCGATTTCAGCCAGAATCTCATCAATATCTTCCGCCTGTAATCATTTTACTTAAAATGCATTGTACGCAGTTTTTCTGGGATACATTCAAGAACTTTGATTGATAATATCAATAAGTAAAGAATACCAACCACTTCCATCCCTCCTTAATGTGTACTTCCGGTTTTTTTTATCGATGATAAAGCATTAAAATCATTTAGTTGAAGGAAATTCCAGAAGTATGAAACCCGATTACTGTATCCTTAAGCCAGAAAAAATATTACTGTGGAAGTTGTGCAAACTTTTAAGTTTTTAAAATAAAAAATTAAGAAAAATTTGGAAAAAAATTATTAAAAGAAAGGAAAACGAAACAACCACGATTGAAGAAATTAAGTAAATAAACCAGTATCTCTGATTCTCCCAATGTTGTGTATATCTTCTAACCTCAGACTCATAATTAGTGATAAAAATAAGTACAGAAGTTGCTCAAAATTATCAAAAAACTTATCATCAAGTTAGGAAGTAAATAAACAAAAATCCATCTTATCTCTCAACATTAAGTATATAAAGATAATGATGGTAGAATTAAAATTGAAGCAAATTTCAAAAAATGAAAAATTTTTTGCGTTAAAATTCACCTAAAATGTCCAGAAAACATCACAACCAATTGATTTTAATTTTAGCACAGCTCTCGTAGTTTTTTATCAATAAATTGTAATATATTTTATTATTAACAGGAAACTTACAGAAATTAATACATACTAATCGATCGATCAATCAATATGCATTATGGTTCAAACAGTGCATGCAACATCACGGATGCATGCAGTATAATATTTTATGCAAATTTTAGAAAGCAAAAACTAATTGTAAGGAAACGAAAAAAAAAAAAAAAGAAAGAGAAAAGTGAAATAACTAACCATTGCTGCTTTCCTGATATTGAAACTGAAGTATGAAGATGTGATACACGTAGGTGGATAGAATGAAGCTGCTGCTTTGTTTATAACTTATCCAGCTGTTGCTCAATCATTTGTGCATACGCCTAACGCCTCTCTAAGATGCCTTACAATCCCATATGACAACTGTTATTCCTATACTTCTGAATAAAATGATGTGTAAAGAAAGCACTGAATTATATTCTCCTCACTTCATCTTCTACTGATAAATAGATGACCTTAAATTTTTGGGGTTCATTTCTAACAATTATTATAAATCTCCTATAGTAAAAATAAATGAATAAACAAATAAATTCTCGGGATACTTAAACATGCACTGTATTGAACAGATGAATGTTCATTCTTTATTGAGATTCTACGATTGATTCAGAAATTCGAGAAGTTTTAGTCAACGTCGGATGACCGAGAAAAAGTTCATTCTTTATTGAGATTCTACGATTGATTCAGAAATTCGAGAAGTTTTAGTCAATGTCGAAATTTTCCAATATGTTAAAGTAAGCAAAGTTTAGAAAATTTCCTAAGTAATGAATCAGTTATCTACTTTTCATAAAATTCTTCCCTCAGGATTAATCTCATATGTAAATTACTTATACGCAACCTTGGAATATTGTAAAGATCTTGTATGCATCTTGTCAATTCGACGTCCATAAATTCATTCTTGAAGCAAATTTATTTTGGTATCATATTTTTGCATCCTTCCTAGACAAGTTTAGTACTATAATCCTTTCCACATATTCTTGTATTATTATTTTGCTGGTATAATAATTAGTTTTATTGTACCGGATTGCTTTGCTATTATGTTGTCACCAAAGGGATTCACGTAAGCTTGTCTTCATCTTAATTTAATATTTCTTTGCAAAAAACCTTTCGCAATAATCAAAATTGATTCAATTTTCGTTAGTCGTTAGAAAAGAAAAAAATTCTGTGGCGCCCATCTCATAGAATATTTTCCTCAAAAAGGTTTGCAGAGAAGTTTGTGTTTTCTCAAACAAGTTATTGCATGCTTGCATGCAAGCATGCTTCACATAATGCCTGTTGGGAAAATGAACAAGTGTTCCTATCGACATTTACTAAAAACAATCATTGCTTCGGTAATCGATAATCTCACCTGTTCTCGCACTCGAATCAACATTTATGTTTTGAAAAATTAAATCGATAATAGCTCTAACTGTCTCGAAAATATGGCATACTTCTTGATATGCTTCTTTGTTAAATATATAAGCTTTTTTGCTCTGTTATTTCTAAAATTTCAACCAATATTTTCAGCGATTAATGAGGGAAAGAGTATCTCTTATTATTTGGCTCAGCCCATTCCACTGAGACCACAAAGTCCTAGAAAAAAAAAAAAACCATTGAAAACCACAATCGTTGGTTTCATCATCCTATTAAATCATAAAATTTCATTTTAATCTAAAAAAGTTGTCCGATATGAGGTGGTGAAAAATGATAAAAAAGGAAGAAGAATTAAATGTTCGATGATAAAATACTGATAAAAATAAAATGAAAGAATGAAAGGAAATGGAGGATATCACAATATGATATGAGCAGATAAGAGATCTGCTGGTGAATTAGACTAAACTCTTGGATGATTCATCTTCAGATGCTTATAAGACGTTTACACAGTGTAATACAGTCCCGTGATTGGAATTTTCTTGCTAAGATTTATTCGCAAACAATGCAGAAATTCTTTCTGGCCAAAAATTCAGATAACATTGAGAGAAAAATGGTGAATGGAAAGGTTCACTCTAGATATCGTAATACTGATCCTTTCAATTCCTTTTAAAGCCATCAAAATTTTTTTTAAAGAATTATAAGAATATGTCACATCCCCTCCTTGCTTTTGCTCCTACTGATCATTTGTCAACTCCTTCCCACAACAAAATGATTTTATCACTACATGAATTGTTCAGAAATCATTCCAATATTGTTGTCGCGATTGGCAATCAATCTTTCCAGACTGAATTGGACAGAATATCCAGAAAACGAAGAGAAAGGAGAATTAATTGTCACATATGAATGTGATAGTTCTCGGGCCTTCACGAAATCTGTATAATAACATGTGGGATAGTTTTATATCTGACCTTTCATCTTTTCATTAGCGTATTGTCATTCGCTCCAATACTTTGTTCCTCTAACAATATTCTTTGATCGGCATTATTCTTTTCCAGCTTTTTCAAGTAATAAGTCTGTTTGAACATCCATATGATCGCTTTATTTCTATCACTTTTCAGTATCTAAAACACAATACAATATTTACAAAGTTGCACCGACTGTAAATACTTTCATTATCAATAATTTGTACATTTTCATTTAGCTATGATCTTTAATAAAAAGATTTGTAGGCGGTTTTCATTAAGTAGTTGTCATTAATTTATTGTTATATTATAAAATAATGTTACTGATAATAATGAGGAGGAAAAATGGAAAAATTGTTTATTTTTATAGAAACAATTCCGGTCATTTGCCAGCAGTATTGTGCTTCATTTGATTGTTCTCTTTAAAATCTTCAAAGTACCTAAGAATTTCCTTAATTAAAGTAAGTAATGTTTAATCGAAATTAGGAAGTGATTCGATTCTCGAGCTCTTTGCTTCAATCAAACTCTTATTTTTTAAATCACAATTCCATCAGTTTTTCCCCCTGTTAATATCTTTTCTGAATTCTTAAGCCTTATTTTGTCTCATTTCCAAAGTACGATATCAAAATGAAAATAACAAAATTACTAGAACATTTCCGGTCATGACCGTGGAACTCCATATTCAAAATTACCCATGATCATAAGAAAACGAAATGCTTATTTAACAAATTATTGAAAAAATTAAGTATAATTTGGTGGAAGTATCTCACAATATGAAATATTACAAATGTCGCTCCAATTCATTCCTAGTGTTTACAGAATTTCTGAGAAGTAAACATTTAACGATTTGATTTGAAAATGCCGTAAAATGAGCAACATCGAATTTTAGGACAGTTCCGCAAGTGCATACAAAAGCAGTTGCATCACGTAAGATAAAAGGAGAACTAATAAGACACTTTATGGAAATTATGGGTGCGAACGTCGTTTTATTATCTAGTTGTTGTTGTTTTATTTACACTACATACTACCACTAGCCGAATCTGACGTGAGCATTACTATCAGGTTTACCTTCTACAGGATTCACCTTCTACAGGATATGAACTTCATAATGATGCTTACGACAGATTTTTTTCTTATCATTTGCATAAAAAATCATTCGGTTAGGATTAGTAAAGAGGTGTATAATTATACAAGTATAACCGGATACTAAGGTTATTTTTGCCAATGAAAAAAAAAAAAAATCTGTCACAGTTTTAGTAATGATACTGCTACAAAAACAATACCGTTCTTTTTTTGCTACCATACAAAATCTGATTATTTGTATATCAGAGAGTGTTGAATGATTCGTAAGGAAAAGAAAAGAGAAAAAAGATATAAGAAGACTTTCTTATCATTTGCATATTTGAGATTTGCATCAAACAACACTTTTTGCAAACATTTTGCCCATTCCTTGAATAATTTATAAACTTTGTTTACACTATGTTAATAGTATAAAACTTCCAACTGTATAAATTCATTCCATTAATAAGTAATCGCTAACATTACTAAGTAGCGGAAAGTACACATCTCTCTCTCTCTTATTTTAGCATTTAGTCCAGAAATTGCATATCTCCAATAAATCGTAGCCCTTCGAAAATTTCCAGAAAACATTTCACGTTAGCAAAAAATGCATGCTTGAATGATAAGTAAAGATTTTCTCACTCTTAACGGACGAAGGCATTTTTGAAATCAAAAAAAGAAATTAACCATTTCAGGCATGAAGACTACAAAAGATATTTCCTCGAAATCATTAGAAAGACAAAGATGGGAAACGACACGAATATTAGCTTCTTTTTGGTATAAATGAAAATTTTGAGCACAAACATCTGATACAATCTGATAATTTGATTTTGTTCAAACACAAACTTTTTTTTATTATATTTTATTTTTTTGCAAATATTCACGGATAAAAAAGTTCGAGTTCAAAATTAACTTTTAATCGAAATGTGAACAACAAGAAATTTAAATTCAGGATATTTGGATTATGCAATAATCACGCATATGTGGTCATGTTAAGTGCAGCTGAAGATATTCTCGAACAAGGACATCAAAATACCATGGATGTGGAAAGGAAATGTCTTGTAAATTTTAAATTTGAAATAATTCTGTTTAAAATAATGCTTATAACAAAATGAAAGACTGTGAATGAAAACAACATCAAAAGTAATGTTTTAACAGAGATCACAAAACATCGTAGGATTATTTTTCACTCGCTATCAATTCATCTTTCTTATTTATCATTTAGGATAAAATAAATTCCCGTCGTTGTATCATTACAACAACCGGAGCAGTTTTATTAGCCGATATATTACCCTGCCTTGTTGTCAAATTAACGTTTCCGTTTTTCATGCAAAGGGTACCATTTGGGTAAGTTGTTGCAGTGACCAATATGAGTGTAATAAGCAAGCAAAAAAAAAATTTTTTTTTCCAATTTTGCTTGGGAAGAAATAAAATTTTTTGAAATCTGTTGGACTATAATTGTCGTTTGCAGGATGCGTCATTTCATCATATGCTTATTGCAATCACTTAGTTATTTAATCGTCGCTTTTTCCTCAAGTGTTGTGATGTCCTTAACAGGTTTGTTACAATAGAATGAAATTTACGGGTAAACCCTCGGCTAATCGGATAAGAAGTGTTGTTGACATGTCAATAAATATATTATCCTTCGTTTACACAACCGAAACAAAGCTAATTTCATATCTTAATAAAAATCCCGTGTTATGTTCACTACAAACATCTACGAGTATTGAATGCTAGTAACTACATTTCAGGAGTGGTATTTGCCAGTGTTAGTTCTGGTCTCGGTGAAATAACTTACCTGTCGCTGACTCCCTACTTCACTAAGTCTGCTTAATTACTTATTATCTTGTTTTTGAAGTTTGCATGTAGTGTAGAAAAGATTTTGTTTAAATTTTGTGAAACTTAATCAAATCAGACATCGATACTTCAGAAATACTATCTCAACATGGTCATCGGGTACTGGAGGTGCAGGAATAATAGGCGCTTTAACTTATGCTGTCCTAACGGAGCCGCACTTTCTGAATTTATCACCGAAAATATCACTTTTGATTATGCTTGTTGTCCCACTGATGTTTTCCTTAGCGTAAGATTTAATTTGAACATAAAACATTTCACGAGAAACCACCGAATAAACTCAAATGATGTTAACCCGTTGGTCGAGAGTTACAGTTAGAAGTGTAACAGTATTACACAAGATGTCATGTAAGTCATCTGGTTCAATGGAGTTAGAACCGCTTCATTGAGGTTACAATAACCAAATTCATTAAATGTTTATGTAAATTATCAATGATGCATTTTAATTAGTTCTATAAGATTGATGATCCGTTAAGATAAGTTTGAAAGCAGAAGAAGCCAAACCGATTTAATAAAAAAAATTCTTTTTCCAGATACTGGTGTTTATTAATATTGCCCGATTCGATACATAGAGTGAATATTATGGAGCCTAGCACTTGGATAGTACCCAAAACATGCTTATCTGAAACCTCTTCTAATGGTATCTCCAACATGGAAACAGAAGATGACAAAAACTCTTCAATGTCATCTAAGCAAGTCAAACAACGGATACTATCCTTTGAAGAGATGTTGCTTGTGACACTTGTAAGTCATAAAAAATTAAATCTTTTAATATTTGGAACAAATTTTGCAACTTATGTAAATTTAATCTTTTTTAGTCATTACTGCGATTCATGATACCACTCATGCTTGTTTATCTTGGTGAATACGTCATAAATCAGGGTATTTTACAGTTGATAATTTATCCATGCGATAAAGGATGGTATCTTACACCATCAAGTCAATATCGTTGGTATCAAGTAAGTCTAAGTTTCTCTAAATTTTTTTAAAATTTATTTCCAAATTCTGAAATGATGGTGATTTTCCAGGTACTTTATCAAACCGGTGTTTTCATTTCTCGATCTTCAGTAAACATTTTACAATTACCATACTGGGCTTTAGTACTTCTTCCCATGCTACAGGTAAATTTGAATCTTTCCCCTAAAATTCACTTTCAAGAAAGCTTGCATTTATTAACTGGATTATTTCTTTATTGTACAAGTGTGAAATTATTAGCTTGAGTAGCAATCTTAAATTGCAGAAGAATTAATAGCGCTCACTGAGCTTAGGATCAATCGGAAACCTGTACTCCAATACCGTATCTCTTCTAGTTGCATAAGAAACCTGAACAATATTATTCTTAAATCGACCAAGAAATATAAATCTAATATAATGATTTGTAATTTTGATATGACTATTCCATCTTGTCATTTCTGTGTCCCATTCATGTCCATTTTATCCTTTTTGTCATCTTTCATCCTTCAAAGTCTCTCTCAGTTTAGGCTGTTAAATCATTAAATCTAAAGTTTACCTTAACTAACCATTACACTAATTTCCTCTCTTACAGTTCATGAATGTGGTAGTCTTTTTCTTGGAATCACTCTACTTCTATATTCCACATATTTGGGTTCTCTTTCTGTTAATATTGTTCGAAGGATTATTCGGCGGTGCATCCTATGTTAACACCTTTATTCATATACACAATTTCGTAAGTTCAGAACAACTTATTTGCATGTGTGTGTGTGTGTGTGTGTGTGTGTGTGTGTGTGTGTGTGTA